CGGAGAGTCTCGGATGTAGCATGAAGAATTTGCTGACACGCCGGTTACATACTAGTACTCACTCGACTGAACACGAAACATGACTTGGGTTGTCTTACCAATGCGGCCCGTCTGTCTCTCGTGTTTTCCACCAACGACTCGGATGTTTTGCCGACGGAAAGAGTTCCGCCTTCATTTTGACGTCGCAGGCGACCAGATAGTAGCGACCAGTACAATTAACTTCTTTTCGCAGCCTCAGAACTGTTGCCCAGAAATCTCTCGGACTCGGAAGGCTCGGAAGTGGTCAGACTGCGGGCCGCAGCTCGACCCCACAACCACTGGACTCCGCGGGCCGCAGTTCGCCCACTCGGTTTTACGGGTAGCTTTCCGTATCTTTCAACACCGTCGGAGCCGACGGTGGCCTCAATTGCCAACACCCTCCGAGTCGCCAAGTTCATACGTACATAAAATAAAAGTGCGCATTCATTTTTCTGCAGCCTTCACAGATTCACAAACCTCTCACGATGAGGTCGATTGCATTCACAGCCCTTGCGGCATTTTTGAACATAATTTGTGTCCATGCAGCATCCGCAAAAGAAGGCCCGAACGTCGTCTTCATATTGACCGATGATCAAGGTGCGATCTTCTTATCTCGCGCTGACAACTAACTGGAATCCATGTGGACAGACAAGCTCATGGGCTCTTTGGATTACATGCCGAATGTCAAGGCCTTGCTGTCGGACAAAGGTGTCACTTATGATCGCCACTACTGCACCGTCGCCCTATGTTGCCCGTCCAGAGCTAGTTTACTGACAGGAAGGGCTGCCCAGTGCGCACATCCCCCTCCTCCTCTCGAACTAACCTTAACGATTTGGCAGCAATACGAATGTCACGGACGTTCTTCCTCCTTGAGGTAATTCCTATTTTTCAAAACCGGGCGACGTCTCTGATTAATCCTAGGCGGATACACAAAGTTCTCCCAGGAGGGACTCTACAAAGATTTCCTCCCGGTTTGGTTGCAAAACGCTGGCTACAACACGTATTATGCGGGAAAGCTCATGAATGGCCATGCGACTATCAACTACAATGCGCCATTTGTCCAGGGTTTCAACTCGAGCTCGTGCGTACCCACCGCAGTTCGGCGCATCCGACTTCGCTGCTGATTCTATGCCCCGCAGTTTCCTCCTCGATCCGGGGCAGTACGTCTACATGAACAGCACCTGGCAGAGCGATAAGGACGCGCCTGCGAACTTCCCGGGCGAACACATCCTCGATCCCAACAACGAGATAGCGTACGGGTATCTGGACGACGCGATAGAGAAGGATGTTCCTTTCTTTCTTACGATTGCCCCAATCGCTCCGCACGCGGAGGTCCTAGTCGACACAACTAATTCAGTCGTCACCACGACCTTCACGCTGCCCATTCCGCAAGCCAAGTGGAACACCTCGTTCCTCGACGAGACAGTACCCCGCACGCCGAACTTCAACCCCGATGTGGTAAGTCTTCCGGTGTTTATATTTTGTATACGATTCTGACTTGTATGTTTAGCCCAGGTAAAGGAAGCCGTCCCGTGGCATGCCTCGCGAGCTGATATATTGCAGCTCTGCTTCTTGGATCCGAGACCTCCCCCAGCTCGACCAGGATGCTCTCGACTACAATGACGCGTTTTATGTCGCTCGGTTGCAGCTGCTCGCTGGGCTCGACGAGATGGTGGCCGAAGTGGTCTCCCGCTTGGATGCCTCGGGACTCCTGGACTCGACGTACATCGTTTTCACCGCGGACAACGGGTTCCACATTGGACAGCACAGACTGCAGCCCGGAAAGTCGTGTCCCATTGAGGAGGACTATGCCGTCCCGCTCATTATTCGTGGGCCGAATGTCCCTGCTGGGAAGGCGAGCGTATTTCTCAGTGAGACGAGCGTGCATTAACTGTGTTTTAGGTCGTCAACACTGTCACGAAGCACACCGATCTCGCGCCGACTTTCTTCGAGATGCTCGGCATCGCGCTGCGCGAGGAGTTTGACGGCGCGCCGATTCCGATCACGGCTGCTGAAATCTCGACGGCGAGCGCGGACGCGTCAAAGTCCGAGCACATTGACATGGAATATTGGGGGACTGTCACTGCCCACAACGAGGGTAATTCCGGCAGCACGACACCGAACAATAATACCTATAAGTCCGCGCGAGTCATCGGCACCTCGTATAACCTTTTCTACACTGTCTGGTGCGACAACAGCCATGAGCTCTATGTGAGTTCGCCTACCCTTCTTTTGTTGGTTTTTGATTGAATGAATTTGCGTAGGACATGAACGTAAGTTGACCGCGATGATTGAACGACTGTACATATCTATACTGAATGACCGTTAGGCGGATCCCTATCAGATGAACAACTTACTGGCTGCCTCGAACGCGTCAGTGACCGCGCGCGACCTTACTTCAAGTGCCGGCATCTATTCCTCTCGCGGTGTACGTGGTTTACTACCGTCTTACCGGCTGGCTAGCTGACATCCAACCCAGGACTTTACCAGCGCGAACATCGGGCTCCGTCACCAACATCACACTCATCCTACCCCGCGCTCCGTCACCGACGACATCCCCCAACTCACAGCGCGCCTAGACGCCCTCACCATGGTGCTCAAATCGTGCAAAGCGGATTCCTGCCGCAGCCCCTGGAACGTGCTGCACCCCCAGGGCAACGTCCAGAATCTGGCAGACGCGATGGCCTCGACGTACGACGACTTTTACGCGTCGCAGCCCAAGATATCGTTCTCGGAATGCCAGCCGGGGTATTTGATCCAGGTTGAGGGTCCGCAGGACGTCATCCCCTACTCTGGTTGAAAAGTACATAAACTCCACAGAGCATGGTTCATCTTCACTGTATAATTTTACTTGATAGTTAACTACCATTGCCCAAATTTAGTACATAGCCGTACTCTTCTTGACTACTAGACACTTCTTCACCACAATGACGTTTTCATTTTTGGCTGGTGCCTGGGCTTCAAAAAAAAATTATCAGATGAACCAACCCATACTCTTTTCTGGATCCTAGATCCATGGAGACAGCTTCAATACGGAACGGAACATCTGCGATTGATGGGTCCTATACAGACACAGAAGACCCGCTCGTTGCATAAAACCATCAACTAATCAAAAGTTACAACAATATCAGGGTAGTTTGTGACTTCAACAATGTCGGCCCAGGCAGCCGGAGACGCAGCAGCGAGGAGCGGACTTGCAAAATATATCAGCTCATAAACAGGAGTGCCTGAATGAACATGGAACGTACGGGCGTCTCTCTGGATCCCGGTTCTGAAGTTCCTGCATTTCGAGCACGGCCTCGCGGAGGTCGTCAAAGACAAACTCTCGCGCAAGCTGCTCGACTATCATGGTGGATGTTATAAGGCCCACGCCATGGGATGCGGTGTCTGTCGTCATCATCGCGGCACACAAGAAATGCGCCATCTTCGCAATGCTGTCGCGGTCCCCCGTGGTCATCGCTACCTCTCGATGCCGCCGGAAAGGCGCTTGGATGCAGGGACCGGCGCCGAAATCGACCCTCAGCACTGCGCCGCTGTCAGTGTACAACCGATAATCGATGGTCGGGGCCAGGTTGAGCTCAGTGACTTGGTCGGCGAGCGCGAGCGAACGTTTATAGCCGTCGACAGGGAGAGGGATACGTTGGTCCGAGTTGCGTACGGAGGTGGGATGGACGATGGGCTGGGACGCAGTGTCGAAATCGAGGGCCTTGCCACACGCAGTATGGTGCCGCAGCTTCCAGTCCGCGCTTTGGCATGCTCTAGTGCCAGGAATAAACGAGATAAGTTATGGAACAAACGACGAGCAAGAACAATGCACCTGGAACAGTACAACACCTGCCGTATCGAAGCATTTTTTGCAGCGTGAAAATTTCTGGGAGCCGTCCGCGGGCTCGGAGTTGGAGCAGCCGATGTAGGAACACTGACCCACGCGCTCACTCCTACGAGCCTTATGCCCATCAATCACATCTTTTTTGAAGGCCTTTGCAGCATCCCGGCCCAAGGCTGCCACCAGCTCAGGCTCGGGCTGGCGCGTATGTATTATGGGATTTTGGACAGGTTTATGTATTTTCTGCACAACCAATGCCGGCGGTTCTAATCTCATGAATGACCTGAGGGTAAACTGGAGTGCGTGGCCTTGTTTTAGCGTTAGCGCGGCCGAACTGTACCGGCTTAGAATACTTGCATATGAGCTTGGTTCGCAGCAACAAGATACGAGCAAAGGCGATCTTCATGTTCTCGGTGTCGTTTAAGCGCTCCGGTGCCGCAGCGAACGCGTCCCGCTCAGGATGCGAGATGTATGTGGGCGTAGTCGGAATGAAGGAGGCGTCGTCGAGCATAGCCGACTTGAGCAAGTCGAGGAAGACTTTGCCATTTAACCGCAGGCGGGAGGGCCGGAGCTCCGGGGCACAATAGGCGCGTGCGTCATTGAGATTCAGCGCCTTGGAGCAGACGGCGACCATCGTGCCAAGGATGTGCTTCCGGCGCTCATCCGGGCTGGCGGCCATCCATCTTCCGTCGAGATTGTTCAATTTGAAGTGATGTAGAGCCTCTTCGGTGACTGTGCGTTGGAGCGCACATATCTGGCTCACCAACGTCTGGTAGTTATCCAGAGCTTCGTCTACGAGCCGCGGCGTTGTTTTGAAGTCCTTAACCTTGAAATTGACGCAGGTTACTGGCCCTTTCCCGCGGCGGGCAAACTCCATCCTGAGGAAAGCTTCCCAGTCCGCGTCCCATTTCTCCGGATTCCGAAGAGCGTCTGAAGGGAGTGGGAGGAGGATCATTGTCACTGGTGTTATGCCAGTGGCAGTGCATGGTGCACAGCCACATCGGACTTTTCCGAGTCCTGCCAGCGCAACTAAGTTAGAAGGTTGAAATTCACCGCACGGCGCGAACAGAACTATCTGAGCGAGAAAGAAAGAGGCCGATTCAGAGCTCGACGGATTGGAAAGGGGAATAAAACTAAAATAAATAAAATTCGCAAATGGCCTGATCTTGAATCGAACAAGGCTCTCCTGCAAAACCACTCACCTGCCTATGCAAAGCAGGCATGCTACTATTACACCACCAAGCCGTCCTCTCTTCTACCCAACCAAAAAGTAAATACAGGAATTTTGTGAACAGCGTAATAAAGAAAAGCTCAATGAACAAAAAACAACCTGGCCTTGAGACGAACAAGGAACTCCCACTAGCACATATGCTACGCCAATACTGAAAGAAGGTGTGCTACCATTGCACCACCAGGCCATTGCTTTCCTTGTCCCATAACTAGATAAATATATGACTTCTCTAAACGACGCACAGGCACAGAGCCAAAAAGAATTCGCCAAAGACACATTGCCTGCCCTTGAATTGAACAAGGATCACCCACTGATGGAGGGAGATATTTTCAACATAAAGCAGGGATGTTACCGTTACACCAGCAGGCCTTGTTTCTGCATAACTGATAATGAGCCTGGCTTGACCATGGAACAGAAGGTTGAACATTCAAGTGGCCATCAGAAATTCAGAATGCCTCACTCACAGAGACCTAAGGACCGGAGCGGACTATGCCCCTCTGCAGAGTTTGGCTTCTTTGAGATGTACAATGAATTAGTTGGAGCTTAGCTCAGAGCTGCCGCAACGGTTGGATTCCGAGAGAGTCGAAGGCCTAGGCCCGTGACCAACAACTGTGACGGTGACACCAAACACGGTCACTCAACCTTGACGCGAACCACCACCATGTTGGCCTCCCGCCCGCTGCACCTGCCCGCCGAGGGGCGCTTGGGCACCAAAACGCCTGGACGAGAGAACGCTATTCACAGGGGAGCGATGACCGTGCACGGGAAGGGCAAGTCCCATGCACTGGCACCGCAGCCGCACACCGTTCGTACGTGCCAGCCATACCACCTCGCATTCCGGTATCTTACCATGCAAGCAGAGCCCCAGCGCCTCGTAAAGGACGCATTTTCTGCAAAGAATCCCACGCGCCTCGTCGTCCGGCCCCTGGGCGACAAGACGCCGTTCCCCAACCGCAATAACGCGAACGCCTTTGCCACGCCGCTCCCGGGCGAGCAGAAGCTCGCCAAGCTCGTGCTCGACACCACCTCCGCCCAACCTCACGCGCACGCCAATGGAAATGCGAATGGGCCGATGCTACTGCACCCGGGTGCGACGCCCGACAGCGTCGCGCGGCCGAGCTCGACGCGGAAGCACGTTCGCGCGCCGCGCAACAGCTTCGTCACGCCCATTACCGCCGGGAATCACTGGGAGTCCACGCCGTTCGATGAGGTCGATTTGGCCCCCGTCGCCGCGGAGCCGGAGCAGGCGCCCGCGCCGGAGGACGATTACGACGAGATCGAGTACATGCCCCCGAACACGCTCGGTGCGCCCATGTCCTCCCTCATCTGACTCATACTTATACTGATCGATTGCGACAGACACGCCGTATACGCCCCCGTTCGACTTCCCACTGCCCGACTACGCCGCGGTCGGCGCCAGCCTCCTGCGCCGCGCACATTCCTACCCCTATTCGCCCGACGACGCGCCGCCACCCGTGCTTGAGCCCGCGCTGGACGCCTGTGCGTGCGACATGCCGCGCTTCGCGCTCCCTGAGCTCCGTGCGTCTTTTCTGTTTAGCTTTCCTTGACCCGCGAAGGTCGCTCACACTTAGTGCGTTCTATTCTAGAATCGGATGACCCGTTCGTGGATGTGCCCGCGCCGACCATGACCAAGGCTCGGACGGCGGCATCGAGGCCTGGGACTGCTGCGCGGCCTGGGACGGTTGCGTCGAGGCAGGCTAGCGTGCGTACTGTGTCTGGGGCGAACAAACCGCTCGTTGCTGCTGCGTCGAGGAAGCCCTTAGCAAGCGCGGCGAACAAACCCCCGGCGGCAGCTGCGGCGAGGAAGCCTCTCGCGTCGAGCCAGGTTCCGGCCAGCGCCGCGTCGAGCAATGTGCGCGCCGCAGCGACCTCGACGTCGGTCAAGCCCCTCGTCCGTCCCGCTTCCACCAAGCCTCCCGCCACCATCGCTGCCGCAGCGCGTCGGCCTCTCGTCACCGCCGCAGCGCGCAAGCCTCTCGTCACCGCCGCAGTGCGCAAGCCTCTCATGGGCACCGCCGCCGCTTCGCGCAGACCGCTCTCGACACGCGCGCCAGCGCCAGCGCCTTCGCCCGAGGCTATACTTGTTGCGGGCCCGGAGACGCCAGCGGAGGATGATTTCTTGTTCGATGTTTGATTTCGATTTCTTCTGTAGCTTTGATTTGTCAAGACGCGTTCGACTCGAAGGCGGATGAATACGTAGGTTGAATTGGCGGAGTTTTCTTAAGTACTCTTTTGGATATCTCAAGCTTAAGCGCTGGCTATCTATCGGTTTGCGATGCTCTCAGAGAGTCCGACTTTGAAGTTTAGCGGTTGGCAGCAAACTGTCTCATAGCTATTCCCTTCAATACAGCTGCTGGTTACAGATAGTATCGGCTTGGCGGTGTATCGGTAACACGCCTGCTTAATGTGCAATAGGAGGAATGCGCAGGAGTACCTTGTTCGACTCGAGGTCAGGCCATATTCTCTCATCCATATTCTTTTTGTCTCTTTTGTACTGTTCCGATGGTAATTTATTTGGTAAAAGAGGAAGGCAAAGGCAAAGGCCCGGTGGTGTACTGGTAACATGCCTGCTTTACTTGTGATGTTGTTTAGGAAGTTTCGGCAGGAGATCCTTGTTCGAGTCAAGGTCAGGCCGTAGGTATTCGTTTTCTTACGATTTCTTCATTCTTTAGTCTCGTGTCTACCGTAGAGTACATATTGGCCTGGTGGTGTAGGGGTAACACACCTGCTTTACTTAATAGGGTGCAATCGGAGAGGGTTTTGTAGGAGTCGAGGTCAGGCTATCATTTTCTTTCTTGTTTCATTTCGTTGCAGTGCTTTCCCCTGTCTAGCTTCTTAGCATCCATCCTTTCTTTAAGAATTCACCTTGACACCCTACCTTGATGGACAGAGCACTCCCTGCATTTTTTTCGATGAAATATATCGCATCGACATCCACTTGAGTGAGTTAAAGATGGAGGCCAATGTGAGCAGAACAGCTATTGGCCTGGTGGTGAAATGGTATCACATCCCTACTTTATGCCATGGATCCAGATAGTTTCTAGGGAAGTTCCTTGTTCGAATCAAGGTCATGGCCGGGTTTCTGCTCTCTTTTTTCTTTCCACACCCAATGTTGAAAGTCTTCCATTGTATTTGGCTTTGTTCTCTTAAAGTATGGTCAATGGCCCAGTGGTGTAATGGTTAGCAAGTCTCTGAACTATTGGGCTGCAGTCATGATTTTCAGAGGAAGGTCCTTGTTCGACTCAGGGCTAGGCCATTTACGGTGACGGCGCGCTTTTTCCCCTCCCGGTTTTTTCATTTTTTTTTGGGCAGACAATGGATTACTAGAGATAATTCCTAGGCGCTGAATATACCAGAGCTAACCGCTGAAGTGTTTACGGCTGAGAAAAATCTTGAAGAGTAGGTTGAACTTCCCTCGCACGTGAGCTCGGCAACCGCCGGACTCTCTTGCTCTCTACTTCCATTCACTTCCACAGCTCGCGCCTTCACCCGCTTCACGAGGCACGCCAATGGGCACCCGTGTACATCTGTATCGTCGGACATGCTCCGCAGTTCACGCACTGGGCTGCTGCTTTCGCTAAGTAATCCTGACTTTCCGCCGCTAGCCCGATTCCGAGGTGGGTTTCGCTCAGATATTTAGCAGAGGATCGGACGCCGCTAATAATCTCATTGTTGTGAACCCGAATTCGATGCAAAGCTCATCGTTTACAGTAATACCCATCCTGAGCTCTAAGATCTCGATCGCCAACCACACCTGCTTGGAAAATCCTCGAGTTGAACACGCCGCCGGGGGGACACACTACCTTCAATATACAAGTCTTCGCAAGGTACCGTGGTCGCTAAGGGAAGTAAGAGCGACTTCATACGACGAGTATGGAGGATCCAACCACTCTCCAAACTCCTTGCAGCCGAATACCCGAATAGCCGGTTTCGGCAAACATGAAACTCAAATAAGCACAAGCCCCTGACCGCATCTTATCGGACTCAAACTGCCGCCGCGCCGAAAGAACGCGCGTTGAACAGCCACCGATTCGCTTGCAGCTTTTAAAGAAGCAAAGACGAGTTCAGGCGACTTTCAAGATCCCCCCCCTAACTCGCGATGAAGCTGACTGTCTGGGAATTTCTCAAAGGCCAGTTTGCCAAGCTGCCCCCGGTGGCGAAGGCGGACCTGACGGGCAAAACTGTGATCGTGCTCGGAGCCAACACTGGGCTTGGATTCGAAGCCGCGAAGCACTTTGCGCGGATGGGCGCGGGGCGGCTTATTCTCGCGTGTCGAAGCCAGAGCAAGGGCCAGGCTGCGCTGGAAAGTGCGTTTCCTTTGCCTTCAAGTTGATTTTGCGGCTAACTAGATGCGCAATGCAGAGCTCAAGGCAGAAACAGGCTCCCAGGGTGCCGAGCTGTGGCTCGTTGATCTTGCAGATTTTGCGTCTGTCAAGAGCTTCGCAGACAAGTTCGAGCAGGACGGCGGGCGGCTCGACATTCTCGTCGAAAACGCCGGAGTCTCATCCTCTACATACACACCGACCAAGGACGGCTATGAGACCGCGTTAGTGGCGGCCACCCATGTCTATGTAGTCCCACTCACCCGTTCAACTTCGCTAGCCTTCAAGTTAACTGCCTCTCCACGCCGCTTGTCGCGTTCCTGCTGCTTCCGCATATGATGCGCACGGCACGGACATACAACACCGTCCCCCGCCTTGTAGTAGTGGCGAGCGAGGTCCACTACTGGTCCACGATCCCCAAGAGCGTCTCCGAAGGGGGCGACATCCTCGCCACGTTCGGCAGCGCAGCGTACTGCACGCCCAGGTACGCAGCCCTCTCCCCAGTCCGTCCTTCCTTCCTCTTCAGCCGGCTTTACCTTGTTATTCAGCGAGATGCGGACCCGGTACCTGCTCACGAAACGTACGTTCCCCCACCTCGCGGCCTGTCCCTTGTCACAGTTGCCGCGCAGTCCTCAACGTCCTGTTTGTCCGCGCGCTGAACGCGCGCCTCGAGCCGGGCGCCCCGCTCATCATCTCTGCGATCAACCCTGGCTTCTGCGTGTCGGAGCTCGGGCGCGACGAAGCGCGCATCTTAGTGTTCATCAGTAACATCATGCGAAGCCTCCTCGCGTTCACCACCGAGGAGGGCAGCCGGCAGCTCGTCTGGGCCGCTGTCGGCCGCCCGGAGAACCCCGAAGAACTGCGCGGCGGGTATACCAACCAGTGCAAGGTCGTGGAGCCGAGTGACTTTGTCATAAGTCCCGAGGGCCAGAAGGCGCAGGACCGCATTTGGGTTCGTTCTGCGCATTTTTTGTTTGGTTTGCAGTGAGTTGACTTGGTTTGATGTTCCAGGACGAGCTGGTGGCGACATTGGGGAAGGTGGATCCGAGAGTTCTGCAGACGGTGGAGAAATATCTCAGCCCCACAGTTTAAACAGTGATACCTGCCATCATTGCTTCGCACCTATTATCAGTATTCTTGTTACAATACTTACTACTTATTCCTCTAGAAATTATTTTTTAACTTAGTCCTCATAAACAGACCTTCTGCGCAGCTTCTACCATTTTACCACCATTTATGGTAAGTAAGTAAATTTCAACACATTTCTCCGCGTCATGTTGATTTGTGCAGAATCGCCGGCTGAACAGAGAAATGTTGAACTTGGTTTGATTTTGTTGGAAGGTTGCGTTGCTGGGGATTGGGTCACTCTAACTCCGGCTACTTGCCTGGTGAATAAATATCTGGCGTGCATCCTGTGCTTCGCTTGTCGCGGGCCTCCTGCTCTTGCTCGAAGAGGGAGAATCGTCTCTCTCGTCAAATTTTTACTTGCACTTCCTTCTACTTTCCTGTGCGCATGTAGGTTGCCAAAAAAAAAAGAGCAAGTTGAAGTTGTTGAACCCTCGGCAACCGCGGGACTCTTTTAAAATTTTGCTCTCCACTCGCATCGGTATACTTTACGAGTCCCGAACTCACTGAAGATGCCCTGCATGGCGCGCCCCGCTACCACGACATCTCGAAGACGCGACACCGCAATTCAATCCGTCTCAAGCCTGAGGTCGGATACTTTGCCCATCAGAAAGAGTCTTTACTTCAAAAAAATACAACTTCTTGTCCACCATGTTGCAGTATTATTACTGATCGACTGGATAGAATTTCTACTTCTGTTTTTGGTTCCTTCCTGCCGCTTCGGGGATGTTCGGGCAGTCGGCTCCGTCACATCACAGCATGTCACATGGTCACAGTCATCGTGACCAGGGGTGACTCTTACTACCACGTTCTCAGCGCTTTGTCCTCTTCTCTCTCCTTCCCAACCGTTAGGTACACCCATCTACTACGATCCACGGAGGTTCTTTCACTGACCTCGCTGTTCGATAGATCTCCATCGCTCGTGTGCGGCACATCAATTACAGTTGTCTGCGGCTGCTTATTGCATCATCCAGGATCCACTCGAAGGGTTTCCAGCGTTGTTTATCGTCTCTCAGACTAGGTGAGCAGCAGGTTGAACGAATACGTGCTCGGGCTAACAGAAATCAGTCAGAATCTTCATCGCTTGTATACTGTCCATCAATTACGCTTGTCTACTGCTGCTAATTACACCCTCCAGGACCCACCCCAAGGGTTTCTAGTGTCTCCCCGACTAGGTGAGCAGCCAGTCGAACAAATGGATGCTCGGGCTAACAGAAATCAGTCAGAATCTTCATCGCTTGTATGCTGTCCATCAATTATTTTCGTCTACGGCTGTTCATTGCATCATCCAGGACCCACCAGGAGGATTTATAGCGTGTCCTTGTCGCTCCGACTAGGTGAGCCGCAGGTTGAACGAATGGACACTCAAATTAACGGAATTTGTCAGACCATCCAGCTCACCCGACCTAGCGTAAATACTTCCGCCCGCCTATAATTTGCGTCGTGTGCTGACTTTTGCGGTTGTCTGCGCAGTTCTCGACCACCCCCGGTTTTGGTGACTGATTACACATCGTGTGAGCAGCCGTCACAGCCCTATTCCCGCTCCCCAAGCTGATCTACAGGATCCATCCAGCCGCCAATAACGTCTTGTTAACAGCCGCCGCTCACAGTCCACCATGTCTTCCGACTATGAGTTTTCAGATGAGGAGGCCGACGACGTCTTTGACGATGACGACATGGGCATGCAGGATGACGGTGAGCTACCTGTTCTCCATTCGGTTCACCGTCTGAGGCTCCCCCCAGACTCCGACGGCGACGACGGCATGGACATGGACGACTTCAAAGTCGCGCCCAAGACGACCCGGAAGGCGTACGAGCTCGAGTACGACTCCCTCGCGCAATCCGCCATCGAGAAACTCATGGAGCAAGACGTCGAGCACATCCGGGGCATCTTCGGCGTCGACGTGAGCACCGCCAGCCTCCTGCTCCGCCACATGTCGTGGAACAAGGAGCGCCTGATCGAAAAGTACATGGACAACGCGAACAAGATGCTTGTCGCCGCGGGCGCCGCCGTCCCCGAGCCCGAGCCCGCCCGGCCCAGCCGCCGCCCGTCGCGCAAGCCAAAGTCGCCCGCCGCCGCAGCCAAGCCCGAGGCGTTCGTGTGCTCCATCTGCTTCGACGACGCGCCGGACCTCACGCCGCTCGCGCTCGATTGCACGCACGCCGCGTGCTCCGGCTGCTGGTCCGCGTACATCACCTCCAAGATCCGCGACGAGGCCGAGCACGCGTGCCGCTGCATGGCCGAGGGCTGCGCGCTCGTCGCCCCCGACACCTTCGTGCGCGAGGCCGTAGACGAGGAGACGTACGCGCGCTTCCAGGAGCTGCTCGTGCGCCACTTCGTCAGTTGCACGCCGCACCTCAAGTTCTGCCCGTACCCCGCGTGCACGAACACCGTCTCGTGCCCCGCCGCGGCGTCCAAGGCGTCCCTCACGTCCGTCGTCCCCATCGTCTCGTGCGGCGCGCGCGGGATCGCCTCGACATCCGCCGCCGTGCCGATGACGCAGAGCCAGGAGCTCGTGCGCCAGGCGACGGGCAAGGAGCACAAGTTCTGCTTCGGGTGCATCATCGACAGCGACCACCGCCCCGTCGTGTGCGGCGTCGCGCTGCTCTGGCTCAAGAAGTGCCGCGACGACAGCGAGACGGCGAACTGGATCAAGAGCAACACCAAGGAGTGCTCTAAGTGCATGAGCACCATCGAGAAGAACGGGGGGTGCAAGTACGCGCGGTCGCTCTTTTCGATGGTGCTCCCTGCTCACCTGCTTTTTGCAGCCACATGACGTGCAAGAAGTGCAAGCACGAGTTCTGCTGG